TCCATTTTACATCTGCTCCACTGACCAGCTGTTAAACGTGTTTCTGTTTCTTATCATGCTTGGAACGACTATAATTTATTATGGTTTTATATTAAACTATCAAATTAAATTTATTGACAAAATCGGATCCAGTGCAAGCACGTACACAAAACGTTTTCCAATTGAAAAGTTTTAGAGAATGAAACATATTAGTCACCTGAGCCCTTTTTACAGAAAAGGTTAAACATAAACGTTTTATTAGGTTTAACAGCCTATATATTACTCTATGTGCGGTAACTAGCTTCAGTAACTTCAAGGTCTATATTAATAACAATGTTCTTAATTTATTCCAGCTTCAGGATAAATTAAGATGTCGCACTGAGGAGGGGAACGACAGCTGTACGTGCATGAATTATATATTTTGAATATATTATTTGAATTACCTCTCGATTAAGTTTTTCTTTCCCCAGGATGGGTACTCGCTGCTGTTCGTTATTAAAGAATTTTACAATGATAAAGTTGTCGTAATGACATTTTGTATTTGTACCTCATACTCACACCGAAATTTGTAATTAAGCTCAAAGCTACACAATGGGCTATCTGTGCTCTGCCCACTACGTGTATCGAAACCCGATTTCTAGCGTTTTAAGTCCGCGGACATGCCGCTGTGCCACTGGGGGCCCCGCAAGGTTGATAAAAGTACTCTTTATATGAGGCATTATGGGATATGTTTTGAAATTACCCCTGTAGTTTTAAATGTATTTGGGAGTTTGCGTCCATTACATACAGTGTGGTTGAAGTTATTACACATTCTTCTTCACTTTTATTCATATGTTCTTAGAAGAAGCAGGCGTTAGTTACTGGAGAATTTAATCATTTCAGTGGCTTGTGGTTTTAAAAAGTTTTTTCTTCTAATATTACAAGTATCTAAGTACATTGTAGCTACACACGAAATTATTCTAGTTTAACACGTGTTTGGGTGGAACTTGCGTTATTTGAGAGCTCTTAAGACTTGTATCCTATAGAGAACATATGTGTATAACAGTTCTCCTACTCAACCTGTGCTTAGTCGATCTGTTACATTAAAACATCAACAACCAGGAATCCCGGGATTTCGGGTAGGAATCTTCACGAAGGACTGGCTTTATATAACAGATAGTGAAACAAAATAAGAATCCTAGAAATGTGAAGCGATATATTTTCAGAAATATCTTGATTAAAAAACAGAAACAAAAACTGCGCGAACTGATCTTACAATTCAACCAGCTTTTGCTCCACACGAAACTCAAACATTATTTCAAATAAATAAATTTGTAATTAGAAAATGACACCAATTATTTTTAAGGAATGTTTCAATTCCAAACATACAAAGAACAATGTCATATAATATTATACATAACTGTTAAATACTTAAAAAATATATTTCATCATGATTATCTGTCGGGTTTTACTCATTGGTTTGAATTTCGCGAGGGCATTCTGCGCTAGCCGTCCTTAATTTAGTAATGAAAGACTAGAGGGGAAGCAGCTAGTCATCACCATCCACCGCCAACTCTTGGACTACTCTTTTACCACAAATAGTGGGATTAACCGTCACATTATAACGCCCCCACGCCTTAAAGGGAAAGCATGTTTGGTGGGATGGGGATTCGAACCCGCGACCCTCCGACTGCGAGTCAAGCGTCCTAACCACCTGACCATGCCTGGCCTTTACTCATTATAATAGAGTTCTAACGGTACTGTTGCATTTAGTAATCGTTTTACGAATTATATTTATTACCAATACCTGTAACCTCAAATCCAGCAAACCACCTCGTTGTCTCAGTATTGTAGGATGATATTAAAATCTATTTTCAATTAATTGAAATATATTTTGAATGTATAATATTTTCTTCTTTTTCTGTTTAGCTTTATCTCTGGAGACATTTATGTTGCAAATAAAGTTTAGTCCCAGCAATAATTTCTAAACTTGACGTTTTGACTTTAATTTGCAGTAGTTTTGTAGGCGAATGTAAATTTGAAAATTTTGGCACGTTTAAAATCTAATGAAAAAAATATATGTGTATGTTTTTAAATATAGCTTTTAGTCTAAGATGAATAACTTAAAAACGTGCACCAACGACAGCATTTAGAGAAAAGTTTTTGAAATGCATTCATCACTTAGAGGGTATTTATATTTGCGTATGTAAATCAGAGTCCATTCAAGTCTCGAGCTAGTCTCGCCGGACCATATTTACATATGCAAATAAAGTACTTCAGAAACTGAAAACTCCACAATCTTCCGAAGACAGCTAGTGGGTATAGGCAAACTCAAGTGTCGGGGGGCAAACAAAGTATACCCTGCTTTCGTCACCCCAGTGGTAAAAAGATACGGCCACTTTTGGTACTTTTCCTGTACAATTAGTTAGGGATTTTAAAAACTAGGGAACTGTCCGATTGTGATGTAGTATTTCTGAGAGTCTGAAATGGAAAATAGTTTACACGAGGAACTAAAAGAGGCTTAGTAAACTTGAAATTAAATATTTGCACGACAGTCAAGTTATGATTTCGTAACTTTGTATTTAAAATGATTGTGAGATAAGGCAATCAAAATGAACAAGATATTTATTGCCACAGCTTAATTAAAAAAGCATAAATTTGTTGGTTGGACCATTGTTAAACAAAGTGATCAACATCATGAACAATGTCTTTTAAGCAGATTGCAACAAAATAACGATCAACCAATATCTAAGATTTGTTGAAGCATTCTTGGGGCAATGTTTCAAGATCTGGAGACATCCCATACATTTGGGTGATTATTAAGATACAAAACGGTTTAAAATGGGATACAAAAGAGTAACAGATTGTTGGGATAGGGTTGCCAATATCAGACTGAATTTGGGGGGGGGGGGCAAATGGGGCTCGGGCCCTGCGGATCGAAGTTCCCCCTCCCCGACTAAAAGAAAAATTTAAAAGTAGTCAGAAACTGAATGTAACTATTTTAGTCGTTCTATTAAAGTCTGTTACGTTGTAAGTTTTCGTTAATATGTTCTCACATCTTATACTTTCATAAATACTTGCTCGGAAGTATTTTCTTTTTTTTTATCTACCCGTCGCTTGTGTATTGCTCAAACTGTAGTTAATAAATAGTATTGAATTGTATTTGACTTATTTATGAAGATCAGTTCTGAGGGCCCCCTCTATAAAATTTGCCCCGGCACCCCCAAGTCAATGCGTTTCAAGCGCCTAGCAACCAAACCATAATTTTGTTGTTTTAACAGGATAATATAGTCAAGATCTCAGAGAACAAGTTTTTAACAAATCACGACTTTGTCAGTCGAACGTAAAGAATGGTTAAGAAAATAAAATAACTACAAGGTCACGATTTTCTTGATCAAACTATGGAACTTTTTAATTGAGGTAATAGCAATCCAGCGGTTGAAGCAAAAGCTGATTAAATAAAACTATACTTCTACTGTTTACCGAGTGGCATTACACCTTTTGTCTCAAGAAATTGTCGCTACAATAATCTTAAGGTACTTTATTATTGAAAAAAAAAAGAAATCGTGAAGTAGCCATTTGAAATATGACCGTACTTCTATTTACTTCTCTGGATTTTTCTGGAAAGCTACTGAATAATAATACTCTTGTAACACAAGGCTACATAATTACGTACTAGCTGACGTATTCGTTCAATGGTTGTGGAAGATATAGAGACCCGGTGGGGTGGGGGTAATATATGAGGTCAGATACGAATGTCAACCTTCTATGTCATTCCCCGGGGGCCGCATGCCAGGTTTAGTTACAATTAGTCTAGCGGTTCGCCAGTTATAACTGGTGAACTACACATACACACATACTTTTCTCAAATAATGGTTTAAATGTGAAGTATGAACAGACAAAATAGGAGATAGGCTTAACAACAAGGAATGTGATGTTTACAGAGGGATTAGTATGTTATATTAAAACGCTTTCGGAGGCTCACCACAGTTGTCACAATCCGTGTTGTCACGTCCGGACAAACCCTACCTAAAGACTCTGATTCTTGACAATAGCCGTGGAGCATAGTTTTCCTTACAAAAGACCCCAGCGTAAAAATGTCATGTCCAAAGCACACCATTTATCCCCATTTCTTTTTAATAATCCATCTAGTATACAAGGACGACGGTTTCCCGGCGCCCATTTAAACATTCTGAACACATCTTTATGATCTTACTGTATGAATATTTTGCGTCGGAAAGTGCTGTTACCTAGACTTCCCAAAAACGATCAATATAGGAGCATCATACTACGTCAAACAATACATTCCGTTCCACCGTGACTTTACATGTGCTGTGGTGGTCACATGACATGCTGATTTGTATACTCAAAATCATTTTAATATAACGAACTCAACCTCTGTATGTTCCGTAACGCGAGCAGGTCTAAGTTAATTTTGAGTCTTAAAAGTATTGGAACAGGTTACTAATTTTGAGGGCCTAATTTAAAAATTAATGATGGCTATGCGCAAAAATTTATAACAAAATGTATCTAAAAAGATCCAGTAAATTCCCGATACTATATCACAATACAAAGGTGTGGTGTTGCATAATGTTAACTACTTAAGAATTTAGATGCAGGAACATTGAATATAAACTTATCTACGAATACACTATCGTATTATTTGGTGGATAATCATATTAAACAGAACCATTTTAAAAAATTTGATTATAAAATTATAATTTTTGTGATCAAAATAAAGGGTGGACATAATCATGAGGAAATTATATTGAAAAGTTTTTTATTTTACTATCTCTCATGGATTAGAAAAACAAGTACAGAATGCTTGTTTATAGCTTGGGTCTGTTTATCATGATGACCTGTGTAGATCACGTGATTAACATTAGTTCTAAAAACTTGAGAAACATGCTAACGTGAGTGTGTGGAAAACCGTTACAGTCAATAAAGTATCTTCATACACGTAGAAAATAAATTCCTAAAATCGTTTGAAATACGAAACGTTTCCAGTTACTCATGCTTTGTTAGTAAAAGTGGAATCTAACCATCGCTATCTGTGTAGTCTAGAGTCACGTTTAGTGTTCCATAGAGCTCCTTTATCATGTGGAGAACTTCTTCTTGAATAAAATCTACGTCACCAGGTGGACAGTAGTCATCGTGACTTGACCTGTAGAAAATATTATTATTATCATTTATAATCAACCAGTAAATAAAATATTATCTTAATAAAAAAAAAATACACATTCATTTACACTTTCAATTAATCCAAAACGAAACACACTTTTCCTTATTCTGAGTAAATAAGATTACTGTTTAATTACAATTTCATAGATGTTAGTTTCATATTTTCGCGCAAAGCTACAAAAGGACCATCTGCGCATAGACGTCTCAGATTTTAAACTGAAAACTGCAATGAAGGCAGATAGGCAACAGAATCTACAGCCAACTTTTGGGTCACTCTCGTCTGACAGAATAGTCTGATTTGACCGTCACTCTTAAAGTGCATCCACAACCCCAAAGAGCGGAGAGAACTCAAATCATGAATCCCTGAGCACACATTCCGGGTACACTAAATCACTATGCCATGCAAGTTGACACATAGGGGGTACAGTATATGAACACCAACTAAACCTAAACATCGCAATTCTTGAGGAACAGTGGATGCCAAAATGAACTATACTTTATTATTTATTTACTGTTATTTTCGTTAACAGTAATGGTTAGAATGTTTAATAAATCTAATTTTATTACTTTTAATTTTTAGTTTTATTATAATAATAACATTATTATAGAAGTCGTTTTACATTATTAGCTTAATATATGGATTTAAAACAAACCTAAATCTACTAAGCTGGCCGAATATATCTTTAAAAACCAGGTTTCCAAATTAATAAAATAATATGTTCTAATTTGTATAAGTACGAACAGAAGAAAATAATATATATATATTTAACTTCACTCATGACCAGGTTGATTTTTAGTTTCATTCTGTTAGATATACATGACTGTTTAAGTTAATGCGAGTGTGTGTGATTTAGATGGTTTAAGTATAACGCGAGTTTATTGCAGGTTTGTTTACGTAACTGCGTACGAATCATACCTTGTGTAGTTCAATTGTTGTGAGTTGACGCTTGTTATATTAATGCATCATGTTACTAGAACTTTCTAAGTTTTTATTATTCTTTCGATTGAGTATTATTGCATCATAATATTTCGTAGTGTGTAGAACTTTCTAGGTCTCGGTCAGGCTATAAATATGCGTACAATATTTAGTTCGAGTTAGTAAGACAAAGTTAGTTAGATAGAATAGATATATAGATCTAGGCTGCGTGATTGTGAGTTTAGCCATAGAGAGCGTATAGTGTCGATTTCTAAAATGAAATTATCACAGATTGCATTGTAATAACAGAGTAAAGAAGAAATAATTTGTCTTATCAATTGTGTTTTAACGTAACTGAACCAACCTATGAAGACTGTGACGAAAACATACAATTATTTATAGCTCTGGATATAACTGTGGTAACCAACAGTGTAACGTAAATGAAATTATTACCGATTTTATTGTAATAACAGAGCAGAAAATAATATTTTGTACTGTCAATTGTGTTCTAAAGTAACAGAACCAGCCTGTGTGGACGAGAAGAGACGATTGTTTAAAGCTCTGGATACAACTGTGGTAATCAACTGTGTAACGAACATTTGTATATACGTTTGACTTGTTTTAATATATATATTATTTTAAAACAAGTGGACTGTGAGCTGTTTGTTCATTGTTGAAATATGTCGCCAACAAGTCACAGACACCTACTGTAAAGAATCCTGCCTACCCATATATAAAAACCTGACTCTCCAATCTTACAATATGCAAGGAAACACATCAAGAAGGTAGACTGTAGTTCAACATCAAGATCAAGGAAGCACATCAAGAAGATGGACTGTTGTTCAACATCAAGATCAAGGAAGCACGTGAAGAAGGTAGACTGTAGTTCAACATCAAGATCAAGGAAGCACGTCAAGAATGTAGACTGTAGTTCAGTATGATGAATTAGGAAGTATATAAATAAGGAGTATCACATTTCAGTATCAAGAAAGGAAATACTTGAAAAACGGGGACTATATTTCAATATTTCCGCTTCCTGTAAGAGGTAGCACATTTTATATTATGGATATTTAGCCTTTTTGAACGGCTACTCAAAATTCAAAACAAAAAACGCAATTAGGAAAAATACCCTATCCCTCCAAAAAGCAAAACAAAAGAGAACATGTCAAATATATTTCAATTAATTAGAAACAAACAGAAAATTAAGCATTAAAAATGTAAACTTCTCTCTTTTTCTAGGCAGATAAAGCTCAAAATTATACAGTTGAGTGTGAAAGTTCAAATAAAGTTCAATTACCTAGATTGGGAGTAAAAGTTAAGCAGCTGATTGATAAATCCATAAACACTTACAGAACCTTTGCTCGCAATTTAGGTAACTGAAAATTGAACTAATCCAAGTTCAAACTATTATTATTAGAGTTGTTACCATGAATAAAGTATGTGATTCTTGTTGACAAAACGAAATAAAAACAACAACAGTGACTTCTATTATTGCAGTCATATTCCATAATAATATCAGTTAAGATCTGTCTGGAATACGCAATATGTGCTTACAATAGTTTGTACTGAAGAAGCTAGGTGTGTTACTTCTGGTATTTAGTGGATATTATATCATATACACCAGAAGATTACACTTTCCTACCTAAGTAGAAAACAGAAAGTTAATCCAAAGTTAAATAACTGGATACTGAGTTTTTAATTGGCCTGTAGTAGCTCTGAGGTCTTTATTCTTGCTCATAAGCGAAATCACGGTTAAAAATGAACGAAAAAATTAAGTACAAAATGAAATAAAACTTATGACCAGCTGGGGTTTCTTAGCAAATTTTACTCGCTCATCACGATTTGGTTTGTTTTGAATTTCGCACAAACTACAAGAGGGCTATCTGCGCTAGGCGTCCCTAATTTACCAGTGAAAGACTAGAGGGAAGTCATCACCACCTACCGCCAACTCCTGGGCTACTCTTTTACTAACGAATAGTGGGATTGACCGTCACTATATAACGCCCCTACAGCTGAAAAGGTGAGCATGTTTAGTGGGACGGGGATTCGAACCCGCGACCCTCAGATTGCAAGTCAAGCGCCCTAACCACCTGGCCATGCCAGGCCCGCTCATCACGAAACAGTTTTAATCTCTCGGGAAAAATCCCTTTTAGGGAACGCATAAACAAAAACTTATTTTTACTGATGGTAATACCTCAACTTCGCTAAAACATGTTTATAATTATTGTAGTTATTAAAGAAAAATATCCGATATTAACTAAACAAGAACTTGTTATTTTCAATTTATTTAAGGTTTAGGCATAGCAGTTGAACAGAGGGAAGGCAACAGCAGCATTCGCCGCCTGTACGGCTTGACTGTCACTTTTATAACGCGGTCACAGATGAAACACGGTAGGAGTTTTTATAGTGATTATAATGATAAGGTAAAAACATATTAATATTTGTTTTCATATGAGAAACAACCTAATGTGTAAATGAAAAACAACAAAAACGTTTTTTTTTTTGTTGATTTTTCTCGAAATAGTAAGTTGAAATTCATAGCTGAATTTAAATACAATACTTTCCAAGACAAAATAACAAACTCCACCACGGTGTGATTATAGCAATTTAACTGTAGCTTATTATGCCATACTGTTAACTTTGAACATGAAATAACATAACATTGTGTTACTAAAGTTTTCAGTTGTTAGCAATGGCGTTCTACATTTTTATACACGTACAATATTAATTGTGAATTTAGCATCTTGTTCTCTCTATCGTTGCTACAGATAATCTTGTGAGATTCTAATGCTCTTCTGACTTCTTGATGCTACATTATCATGGAACATTTGTAGAGTTTCTAGAAAATATGATTCAATTGTGTTATCGTCAGAAGAAGTTTATTTACTTATTTCTTAAAGCAGGGGGCGTGAACGTAACTTTTAAAATTGTCTTATCATACTAAGGCGGCCTTGATCATACACTAAAGGTTTGTTTGTCTGTTTGTAATTAAGCACAACGGTACGCAATGGGCGATCTGTACTCTTCTCACGCCGGGTATCGAAAACCGGTTTCTAGCGATGTAAGTCCGCAGACATATCGCTGTGCCACTGGAGGGGGCTACACTTAAGGGGTAGATGGAGGCAAAGTATGGCATTTCTTTGATAGGTTTATTTGTTTGTTTGTAATTAAGCACAAAGCTACACAACGGGCTATCTGTGCTTTGCCCACAAAGGGTATCGAAACCCGGTTTCCAGCGTTATAAGTCCGCAGACATACCGCTGTGCCACTGGGGAGGGGCACTTTGATAAGAAAGCAGAAGGCACAGTACTTCAAGATGCGTTATCTAATGACGTAATCCTTCAAAATTAGTTTGTTTTGCAATGAAACGCAGTGAAATACACAAATTATGCCATTTCTTGCATATAAATAATACAAGATTCTTTTTTATAGCTGACGATGCAGAAAACTGATCTTTCCTAACATGTAAGAAATATTAACAAAATTCTTATTTAAACTTCTCCAATTCACATCACGTACGATATATATGCAGTCATAGTATTATTGTTTCTCTTGTTAACAGAAAAACTAGGCTAGATATCGCATATTAACGTCAACTACTAATAATCTAACTGTAATGACAAATAAATTAAATTATAATTTGTTACTTAGCCAACTAATTTCTTGCCTCACCTTTTATATAATTATTTTAAGTCCTTCTAGCCAGTTTAGGGCCAAATATTTTTTTAAAATCATACTAAAAAGAAGAAAAAAAATCGCTACCTGCTATTAAGTGTTAATCGACATACACACTAAAAAAATCGCTACCTGCTATTAAGTGTTAATCGACACACACACAACAAAAATCGCTACCTGCTATTAAGTGTTAATCGACACACACACAACAAAATCGCTACCTGCTATTAAGTGTTAATCGACACACACACAACAAAATCGCTACCTGCTATTAAGTGTTAATCGACACACACACACTAAAAAAATCGCTACCTGCTATTAAGTGTTAATCGACACACACACAACAAAATCGCTACCTGCTATTAAGTGTTAATCGACACACACTAAAATAA